AATTTATCATGACGATTCCTAAAATTTCATCACAATAGACTGCTTTGGAAGAATGTCCTTTACTATGTATACTACATGTACATGTACTATGTACATAATCACTATAATAATAAATAAATCACTATGACAATTAATTTTTATCCAAAAATTTAGCAAAAGAAATTAGTTTCTCTTAAATATTTCTATAAATATATTAAAATTGTATTTATAAGATAAATGTAATAAGATTGTATTTTTATTTTTTAGACATTATCATACTAAATTTTTTTTCCAATATTTTGTCTCGTTTTCTTCCAAATATTTATGCACTCCCCTTTGTATATTTTTTCATATTCATAATATGTATAATATAATATAGACATTATAAAACTTAATTACAAAAAGAAAATATCTAGAAACACAGTGATTTATCTTCAAATATTATTTAATACTTCCTATATTTCAAGTTTTTTAAACATTATTGTATTTTTTATAAAATTATAAAGTAAATTTTATTTTCTAAATAATCAAATAGGTGTAACATAATAATATGATTATATACAATGAGATGACATTCTCAAAGCTAATAGGAATATCTAAATTAGAAAACATTTTCTTGAACATATTAATAGCAGCATTGCTATTGTCACAACTATTACAATTTTTAATAGAAACATAGAATAATAGAATAATTATATTATTTTTTATGTTATTTAATATACAAATTAGAATATAAGAAAAGATGATATGAAAATACAAATTTTCTTTATAAAATGTTTTTATTTTTCTTTGTATTTTCTTAATCATTTATCATAGAAATAAATATCTGAAAATAACTATTGTTTGTTCTTAATTATTATATGTAGATTTTGTACCATTTTTCACATAGTAAATTAATTTTAAGTAGTAAATTGTTTCAATATGTTAAAAGCCTTATATGTGCTATTGCAATTATTCTTCCTTTTAATTATTCTTTTCTTTACTATAATATATGTCCATAAATTAATATAGTAAATTAATATATGTTCAATAAATTAATATCGACATAATTAGCCATACATTCAATCCAATTAATTGGAGACAATAATTAAAATAAAGATTCAAAAATATTAATCAAAAATCTGTTACAAAAATCTTTATTTGTATTTTATAAATCATGTCAAAACATAAAAGCATTAGACATAAATGTAACATTATTTATGACATTAAAAAGCATTAGTAATATTATAACAATGTCAAACATGTCAAACATATCTAATAATTTCATAATTTAGAAACTTGTATCAACACTTCCATTTTATTTAAAGTAGTATTTTGAATTGTAAATTATTAAGCTTACCTTGATAATTTTCATTAGATATAAAAAACAAATGATGTAATGTAATAACATATTCCTCATTTCTTCTTTTCACATATAATGAAAGTAAAACTATATAATACAATACCCACTAAGAATAACCACTATTTCAAAAAACGTTTCAAATAATAAAACAAAAACCTAACTTATATACAAAAGACAAATATAATTATATATAATTATATTTAATTATATTTGACTACATTATTTAGAATTTTGTTTAGAAGGTTTGCTAAAATGAAAAAAAAGTATCTTACTGTAAGCTTTTGATGACTTCTTACGGGAATGCCATTTATTTTTATACGTAAAATTTTTCGATTTTATATTACTCATATTTATAAATATTTAATACATAAAACCACAAAAAATACTTTTAACTAATAAAATATGTTCTATTAATTTCATAGATATATTATAGCTATATATATGTACAACTTGTCACTTTTAGCATTTACTATATATATATATATACACACATGTATATAACTTGATATCTTCAGTTTTCATTAATTCACTGTAAAATACTTTGAAGAAATTTAACCACAGTTAAACATTCGCAGTTGTAACTTCGAAAATAGTTGCTTAAACATCATTTTATATCATTGATCAAAGATAGAATAGACTGGACATGAAATGGGACTTCGTGTTTCAGAATCTGAAATACCGACCAGGAAAAAAAATCACTAGTTTTTTAGCGTATCGTTGACTAGTATCACTGCCTAAATTACAATTAGTCAATGCTAGTATCATTGGCTTTACATTTCGATATTGAAAATTTGACAACACTGTAATGAGTCTCACGAATCATATTGCTGGCGTATTTACTAATTTCCCAACTTATTGTTGTTTAAACGTAGAATGCACTTGTAGGTACAATAATCGATAAATAATAAAGTCACCGTACTAAAGGAAAATTTTATAATTTATTTTAACGTTTACATGATACAGAATTT